GACTCCAAAATTATGTCTCGCCCATCTCTAGTGTATGTTTTCCGGAACTTGGGCCTGGGCGGTGTTGGTGTCGCTACCCACTTGGAAGCTAAATGAGAACTGGCCAAGAAACTGCTAGACTGCCAACCTCCACTACTGAAGGACGCCCTGATCAAACCTGGCACTTCTGCCAACTGGAAAAAAAAATACCAAAAGGCCCTTCCAACGAGCAAATCTTCTGCCTTTTTTTCTTTCAATAGCCGCTGTAGTTGCCATAACTGCTGCCATAGCCTGGACTCTTCCACGACCTGAAGCGGCGCTTCGAAGACTCGCGCATGGTCACGGAGGCCAGAACTTCATTACAGACGGGGAAGGACACGATGAGGGGATGTGAAAGGTCACTGAAACTTGATCCTTCTTTTTGGCAGGTTGAGTCTTCTCAACAAGTGCGCAGCTGTCACGGATGACGAACAAGAGCCCGCAGGGGCAACCCACAGCCCGGCCCAGCCTCTTGTAGTTCGAGTTTGACCGGTAGTCGGATCGGTAATCCGGGCGGTGCTCCCGGTAGTCCGCATAGCGCCGCACGTTCTCACGCGTGGGCCGCGCTGGGAAGGGCGACGGCTCCTGGCCCTCACGCCAGACCATCTCTACGGGGACGTCGACCTGGTCGGCGAGTGGTCAGGGCACGGAGAAAGCGGAAAGCTGTGCATGATCCACCACAGAACTACATTGGCCAGAAGAACGACACACCGCACATGACATGGAGAGGAAGGCTTGGAAGCAGTCCATTCTCAGATCGGGTACCCCAGCCTACATCTCAGATCGGTTCGACGCTTCGACGCGTCCCCAACCTACTAGCGATAGCCCCCAACCTACCCTTCCGGCCAGGCGACCGGCATGTCGCCAAAGGTCGGGTTGTTCACGCGGATTTCGATGGTCCGGAAGCGCCGGTTGATGTGAGCATTCGCCACGGTGCCGCGTTGCTCCGGGTGCACGTGGTGCCGGATCACCACCGCTTCGCCCTGCAATGCTGGTGCTGTTCTTCCATGTTTCTTTGATTTAGTGATTGTTAATTGTTAACCAAGTTATTTACTAAAAAAGGTTCATTTCCTTATGCTGTCTGCAATGTGCAAACTCAATATAGATTAACCGATCGATATGAACTTCTGAATAACCTTCAAGTCTTCCTTCTCGGTCATTTTCTTATGATTAGAGGTGGAAAGAAAAACACCCAAACACTCAGCCTGTGACTCCCCTTTGGCCCTTTGGTGTGCCAACCTACTACAAAGAAGTGTAAGGCTTCAACAAGCTTGGCCAGCCCACGCATCTCTATTTCCAGAAAGATTCTCAGTTCAGCTGTTCAGCTCTTGTAGGGTGAGAGGGGAACCCATCACCCCAGCAGCTCACCAACCAATCTTCACATGCAATTCCCTTTTTGGGGAAGTGGGGACCTCCCGCACCAGTCCAGTGACCCCCACCCTCTACCACTGACCCCCACATCGGAGCTTCCTTTGGATTGACAGATCTTTTTCCCCCGATGCCGGCGCACCACATCCGCCCATGAAGAAACCACATCCGCCGGCGCCTCGACGAAGTACTTATCTGGGAGCGCATCTCGGTCGTGCGACAAGTAGAGCCTCCGAGACCGCGTGGAACGGTCGTGCCGCGTCGCTGCTTCTCGTGTCGCTGTGACGCTGTGACGCTGTTGCGTTCGATGGGGATTCACAGCAGTGAACCGAACACGACCGAGTCACAGACCGAGTCACAGGCTTTCATGAAATGGGTATTCAAAACTGGGAGACCGACCCCTATTCGACCCCCTGGAAGAAGGAAAATACCAGTCTACCCATTTTGCTCGGGAACAAGCGCAGCGTGCCTTGTTGGGTGAGCTTCTGGAATTTTGGGTTGACTCCAATGCGAGGGTGGGGGCAAACGTGGTTGAGGCCCAACAATTTGTCCTTGACTCCAGAAACAACGACTTTCATCAGGCAGTGGCTGGTTGGCACCAGAACTGAGGCATTTGGATCTGAGTTCAGTGGATTTTCCCGACAAAACTCGCTTCGACTGTTTTCGGTCCGGCTCTGTTCGAAAAGGGTGAAATCCGTGGAAGCTCGGTCGTAGACGCTTCAAAGCGTCAACGGGTAGGACATGACTCCAATGTATGACCCGTGGGTTGAAAAAAAAGAAACAAGAAGAGACGTACAGCGCTGAAGGTCATGCGTGATGAATCGATTCGCGCGTTTTTTCCTTCGTTCGGATTTGAGCTCACAGCTCAGGATTTGACCGTGCAGTTCTTTGAGTGGTTGGGATCGCTCTTCGAGTTTGATTCCTTTTCATGCCATCATGGAAGTTTTGGGTTGTCATAATCCTACCATGCATATGATGAGGGCTCTGCAACTTCCGAATCACGAGAAGGTTGCTGAAGCTCCGTGGCGTTTCTTTCATGGTGGACGTCGTTCCACTTTAAGCATGAAAGGCTGTCGGCGACCTTGAGGTTTCGAGTTGATTGTATTTAGGACCACCGTGCCGGCCTCCCGCTTAGCTGGGGGTTGTCACTGCACGTCGTCGACTGCATGAAACGGCAAAAGCCAAAAACCCATTCGTGGGGTGTCTCCCATATTTACAGTACACACTTTCAAATAGGTACACTGTGCAGCTTGTGAATTCTTCAAAACAAAAAAATGAAGAGTCATATCAGGCAATACCTCAGGATGTGAAGGAGATTTCACGATCTGTGGTCAAGAAGTGGGCTTCGCAATTCCATGGAGGACGTGCACCTATGGGACCGGGGTTCCCATGTAGGGACCTGAGCTCCGCACGAGCACATCGCAAGAATCGAGCGAGAAATGAGAGTTCACTCTTCTTTGAATACATTGGTCAACCAATCTTGAGCGGTTTATCCCTTATGTACCACTATACCAAACATTCTGCATAGTCCTGCATCATCTGACAGAGGCACTTATAACATATAAACCTTCCTTTGAGAAGTTAGAAGTTACGTCATCATCATGGTGGTGTGGGTTCTAGCTTCTGCCAAGATCCGTCCTTCCTTCCGTCTATCTCCGTCGCAAACGTCTCCCTCCAGCCTCCGATCGGAGGATTCCCCGTAGGACACGTGGGGCAAGTTCAGCTCATCCGCAAGTAAGTGCACCAGCTTCCGGCGATATGAGGGGATGCTGCTGGGCAGAGTCCAGACCTGAGCACTCGTTTTGCACGGGAAAACAGCGGATGAGTCAGATCTTTTTCCAAAGGAAAGGGGTAGGAATCCATGGAAAAGACTTCCACGAGTGTGATCCCAACTCCGAAATGTTAAGGGAACATGCCTACATCATCCCACATCCCCGTCTCCCACGGTCACCGGTACTGGCGTTTGCCGATGAATTTGGTCTTGGACCCTGCCTTCTGCTCCGCATCGTATTCACCAGCACAGAGGGAGTCCGATTGCAGGGATCCTTGATTGAGGAGCTGCAGCATTCCTCTCAGGCTTCTTGGGTGATGAGAAAAAGCAAAGCCATACGTTTGTTTTGGAGAATTCTAAAACTCCGCCGACCCCGGCCTATAGCCAAAGCCTAGGCGGGGAGGCGCCTGGGACACCGCAGGGTGAAGCAGTTGGCCAAGCCTAGCAGAACCCTTCAAGCACTTCCAAAGGCGCAGGATGCAGCAGTTGGCCAAGCCTAGCAGAACCCTTCCAAGCACTTCCAAAGGCCTGTCCGAGGCCTCACCAGCTGGCCGGCCTGTTGCGGCCTCTCTGTGGCCTGTCCGAAGCCTGCCTCCTCTCTTCTTATGGGCTTCCGAAGGC